CTCAGCCTCCCCAGCACTGGGATTACAGGAGTGCACCACCACGCCCAGTTTTGGGGCCAGCGTGACACGCCAGGGTTCTGGGGCTGACTCGGCATGTGACACTGGGGATCAAACTCAGGACATTGCACTTGCCAGACAGGCGCCTAGCCTGCCAAGCTGTCTCCCCAGCCCTTCATGCATATTTCTGATGAGTAATAGAAAACACTGTGTTATCTTTTCATTTGACTTTCACTTCCATAAATGTTTTCAGAGTCATTTGTACAATGTGTGTGTATATGTATGTGTGTATGTGTGTGTGTGAACACCTCACTCCTTTCTCTTGCTGAAAGAAACAACTCCACTGCGTCTGTCCAGTCGGTATGAGAGGGGCCCATGCTATTTGCACTTGGGAGCATTTGCATGACACTAATGTGGATACTCACACTCCAGTGTGCATGCAAAGACGCTTTCACTTTTCTAGGTTGATACTCAGAAGAGCTGCTACGTACTATGATAAATACATGTTTAGCTTTTAAAGAAAGTGCTGCGCTGTTTTCCAAGTAGCAGTTCCTGCTGTGTAGTCGTGAGGGTGCGCACTGGGTCTTGTGTCAGAGCACACGAGTGTTGTTCGAGGGGCCAGTGTGCAAAGATGTATGTGTGTGTCAGTTCACAAGCAGCAAGGAGTTGATAGTTGAGAAAATTGTTGATAAAGCTGTAGGCTAAGGAGATTCCTTCCTTTTTAAATAAACTAGTAGAATCTATCAAAACTTTGTGTGGTGAAGGTTCTCTAGAGCAGAAACGGAGACATTGAAGGCCCGCCTTGCTCTGAGTTAGTCTGATACTGCGAGGGAAGCGGCCAGACCAGAGCTAGCAGCTATGCAGGAGCTACCTAAGAGTCTCTCACTTTAAATTACACATGGGGTGGCTCGTATGCTTCTGACAGCAACCAGAAATGGCCTAGAAATCAGAACCAGTCTCATTTTCAAAGATCAATTCAGCAGTGTAGACTAGATAGCCCACATTAAGAGAGCTTAAATAACGAGCTGCTTTCTCACACAGCGCCAGAAATTGGGAGGCAGGCAGGCTCCTCGGGGCCATGACCACCTCTCCACACAGTCATCGAAGGTCTGGGGCCCTCCCAAACTCAGACTCTTCATTCACAAGATTTGATCTTTCTCTTCAGAGGACGAGGTGGAGAGCAGAGCTCCAGCTTTCGGGCCACTCTTCCAGGCAGCACGGAGGAAGTGGTCAAGGGCAGGAGAGTTTGTGCTGGTTGAGTTTGCTAGCTGTGTCCGTTCACCTGCCTCTCGGGAGTCGCGCCAAGACTTTGTTGACACCCAGTGGCCACAACTGGGCCATGTGACCACCTTGTTTGCACTGGAAGGTGGATCATGAGTGTCACAAGCTGGACATGCTGCTGTTCCAATAAAATAGGGTCCACTTGAGAGAAAGGAGGAAGAGGTGTTGGAAGACAGCCCACAGTCCTGCCTTGCTGGAGTAAGCAGTGGAGGAAGGGAAAGGGTACCGTAAAGAAGCCTGGCAAACAGTACGTCTACTAACAGTTGCCATTTGGATCCCTCAGAGGAAACCTGAGGTGCATCGGGAAGCAGGCACAAAGGGTGAGGAAGAATGAGAGGAGACATTTCAGGAAGAAAAGTGAGTAACAAGATGGGATATCAAGGTTGCTACGGTGGGACTCCCACTTGAGAACGACAGCTAAGAAATGCCTGAAAACCCTGCCACTGTCAAACTGAAGAAGAGGAGGTTGTAGAATGTCCTGCTTTCTGACTTTTGTTTTAGTTGAGGATTGCTGGGGGGGAGGGAGAGAGAGACAGACAGACAGAGACAGACAGAGAGGAGGAAGAGGAGGAGGGGGAGGAGGAGGAAGAGGAGAAGGAGGAGGAAGAAGAAGAAGAGGAGGAGGAGGAGGAGGAGAGGGAAGGAGAGGGGAGGAAGAAGAAGAGGAAGAGAAAGGGAAGGGAGGGGCAGGGGAGAGAGGGAAAGAGGAAGAAAGAGAGGGGAGGGGAGGGGGAGGAGGAGAGGGAGAAAGAGAAAGAGGGAGAGAGACAGACAGACAGAGACAGAGACAGAGAGACAGTCAGAGAGAAAGAGAGACAAGCAGGCAGGCAGACAGGCAGAGAGACAGAGAGAGAGGCAGAGAGAGTGACAGACAGACAGACAGACAGGTCCTGGTCCAGAATGTGGCTGGAGCCCTGAGGGCCAGACTTTGGCAGCGAGAGTTGAATCTGAGCTCACAGAGAAATGAAATCAGAAGTCGGCAAGCACCTGCTCCTCAGGAGAAGCACAGATTGACGATTGAATCTCACCTCATATTCTAAAGTCACCACTGGCCGACGCCCCTTCTCGTGGTGTGAGACTTCTAATTATGTAACTTACCACATGGGATTTTTAGAAATAACTCCCTTGAGATAGCACAATGCTAAGCGCCTTACAATTCACCTAAAGTGTATAATGTCACAGTTCCGAATTTATTTTAGTGTCTTTCCAGTGGCGAATGATGTTGAATGTTATTCATGTGCTTGTTGGACAGGTGATATATGGTTTGGCAAAATGTCCATTCAAACCATTTGCTGCATTTTTTTCCTATTTTTATATTAAGCTCTGTGCAGTGGAAATGTCATAGCCAATGAGGTTTAACTGAAGCATGAGTATTGTTAATTGAAAACTTTTCATCATTTTAAATTATGCATTTGTTCTAATTTACATAGACCCATGCAGACTTTGGGTGCACGGTGTGAGGTTTCCATGCATGTACAAAGCATATAATGATCAGATCAGAGAAGTTCGTCCCCTCTTTTTGGTAAGCTATTTGATTTTTTATTATTTAGTCATAAATGTTTTCTACCCATTCTACCCCCAAATCCATTATCAAATTATCTGATTTGCAATTATTTTCTCCCAGTCTATTCGGCAAGCTGTCTTCTCATTACTTTGCTAGTGTCTGTAAAATAATATTTTTATTGTTGACAAAATCCACTTCCTATTTATCCACACATTTCCTTTGGTTGGGGGGTAAACGCTGAACCCTGGCAGCTAAGCCGTGGGGAACAGGAGGTGGGCAGAAAGCCAGAGCATGAAATTTAAGGAAAGCTATAAAAAATAGCTGACATTTAAGCTGGGTCTTCAAGGATAAGAAAAAGAGGCATAAAATTGAAGAAGAGCTTTGCAGGTATGGAGCACATCGGGATAGATTCTCTCCTAATCCACTCTACCTCCCTGCTACAGTCAATTATCACAGATTCAAAACAGGAACCCCTACCTCCACCAGCACAGTATGGTTAAGGCTGACAGAGGCAGCCCTGTCTCGCAATTATTAATATAAGGCCCAGTCCTCTACACAGCAGTGCTGCGTCTGTGCGGCCTCTGTGGGACCCAGGAGCAGCGATGAGAGAGGATTAACTCCACACTGGTTAGCAAGGACTCAGGTCAGAGACGCCGCCGAGTCAACCGTTCTCCCTGCAGGAGGCATTCGGCCAGCCAGATGCAGGCGGGAAGGGCTGTGTGAGCCCAGCCAGTGCCAAGCCGGGCGGGGCAGGCAAAGCCTGCAAAGCTTCTCAAGCGAGGAGTGGCCTACATCGTCATGCAGCTTTGCAAGTGACACGAGCGTCCTGGAAACCACAGGCCACAGCGGCGTGAATTCACCTCTGGGTGCGCCTAGGAGTAAAGAGAAGCTCCCGAGGGATGAGACTGCGCTTCTCTGCAAGCCCGAAGAGCAGCACTTCGGCACCAGAAATTACATCGCACTGTGAAAAGAAGTCGCTGTGGTCCATCTCACGCCCTCAATGCATGCCCTGAGATTCACAGTCACGTGCGTTTTTCTTTAAACCAAAACTGTCAAGCTACAAAACTGCTTGCAAACAATGGGAATGCATGAGGGTGCTCCTTCCTTATCCTCTCTGATTCGGATATCTCACTAGACAAAATAAAATAGTGCTGAAATCTCGGTTTTCTTTGCAATTCCCTGACTCCCGAGAACATCTTTTCTTATGCTTATTAGTCATTTGCATTTCCTTCTTGGAGAATTACTTATTCATATCTTGCTCAATTTTCTAGGAGGTCGTTTGTCTTTTCTTATCAATGTCGATGAGTTCTTTGTATGTGAAGCAAAGTAGCCTTTGCCTGTGGTGTATGCGCATGTTCCTTCCCCTTTGCCGTTAGACCCTGTTTCTGCTACTTTTTCCATACTAAATTTGGGGATGCTGATTTTAAGATCTCTCCACTCTAAATTCTGTAATTGAAACTTTCTTTTCCTTGCATAGTTCTCCTATTTCACACAGGAGTTTGGATGATAAATAGATCATTAATCCATCTGCTGTGGAGGGAGGGGCAAAGGAACTCATGTGCATCTGCAGACTCCAATCTAACAGGAACCATCGGCATCAACCGGGAAAGTGATCAAACCCTGCCGGTTACCCAACAAGTAGCAAGTGCTCCGCTCACCCGTGCACTCGCGCAGGCTGGCCTGCAGGGGGCGCAGGTGTGCTTCTCAAGCTCTGGGCAGAAGCCCTGGAGCCCGACCAGCTCGCTGTCAGTCAGCAAGTGTAGGACGCTCAGTGGTCCCTGGGCTGAGCCAAGGATTAAGTAGGAGATGTTTCCCCCTCGGCCAATGTACACGCCCTGAGCTTTGCCCTTCACATCTGGCGATGCCCCACACCTCCTGCCTTGCTATGCCTGCAGCTGCAACTGTCGCCACCCGAGGCGGCGGCGGCGGGATCACGATGCCCAGGTGGGTCTGAGCGCCCAGAGGGGTCGGAGGAGAGGGGACGGCGACCAAAGGCTCGCACGCACGGCTGCTCCCGGCTGCTCCCCGAGCGGGAGGAAAGTTCCCTTGCCGCTCCCAGCGCCCCTCGCTCTCGCACCCGGCCACTCCAAGGTAAGAACAAAAATCTGAGCCCGCTCCAGACGAGCCTGCAGCTGCACAGAGACGCGGAAGGGGGATGCTACTGCCCCTGCGCTGAGCACCACGGCGCCCCGAGTCCCGCGGGACCCCGCCGCGCTCGGCCATGAACGCGTCCTGCTGCCCGCCCTCGGCTGCGCGCCCCCCGCCACCCAATGGCTCCGTGCTCCTTGCACCCTCGGCCCTGGGCAACCGGAGCAGCAGCGAGTTCTGCGAGCAGGTCTTCATCAAGCCCGAGGTCTTCCTAGCCCTGGGCATCATAAGCCTGCTGGAAAACGTCCTGGTGATCGTGGCTGTGGTCAGGAACGGCAACCTGCACTCGCCCATGTACTTCTTCCTCTGCAGCCTGGCGGTGGCCGACATGCTGGTGAGCGTGTCCAACGCCCTGGAGACTGTCATGATTGCCGTGGTCCATAGCAACGCGCTGGCCTTCGAGGACCAGTTCATCCAGCACATGGACAACATCTTCGACTCCATGATCTGCATCTCGCTGGTGGCCTCCATCTGCAACCTGCTGGCCATCGCGGTGGACAGGTACGTGACCATCTTCTACGCCCTGCGCTACCACAGCATCATGACGGTGCGGAAGGCCCTGGCCGTGATCGCGGGCATCTGGGTGTGCTGCGGCGTGTGTGGCGTGGTGTTCATCGTCTACTCCGAGAGCAAGATGGTCATCGTGTGCCTCATTACCATGTTCTTCGCCATGATGCTGCTCATGGGCACGCTGTACGTGCACATGTTCCTCTTCGCGCGGCTGCATGTCAAGCGCATTGCGGTGCTGCCCCCCGCCGATGGGGTGGCCCCGCAGCAGCACTCCTGCATGAAGGGCGCCGTCACCATCACCATCCTGCTGGGCGTGTTCATCTTCTGCTGGGCCCCCTTCTTCCTCCACCTGGTCCTCATCATCACCTGCCCGGCCAACCCCTACTGCATCTGCTACACCGCCCACTTCAACACCTATCTGGTCCTCATCATGTGCAACTCCGTCATCGACCCCCTCATCTACGCCTTCCGCAGCGGGGAGCTCCGCAACACCTTCAAGGAGATTCTCTGTGGCTGCGCCGGCGTGAGCTTGAGATAGGGTGGTGGCACCCGGGAGACGGTGGGCAGCCCACACCCCCTTTGCCTTTCCCTCCAGCCATGAAGTTCAGCAAGGAAGAAAGAAATACTTAGGGGTATAAAAATGTGTCAACAGCCACATGACTTTTAAAGAGAAAGTGACAAGAGAAAGCTCCCAGGGAGGGTCCCTGATGAGTCAGTCATTTCTGCTCTCCACGTAGTCACTGGAGACCACAGCGGGCCACCAGGGCTTGCAGCGCCCGCCTGGCCCTCCTCCTCGCCCCACGGTCCCGGCTGGAGGAGTCCTGTGCCCGGGAAGCTGGCGCAGCTCCCCACCAGCAAGCCACCCAGCAGCCCGGCCCTGCTGCTGCTGGCTGTACAGATAGCTTCGTGCTTCTGCTGTGAGAGCTCAAGTTGCTAGCCTGCTGCTTTATTTACAGTAAGTAAAGTCCTGTTGGGAAAAGCGATGCCAGGCCGCTTTCCCTCTTCTTGCCCTCACATCCACGCCAGCCTCCAAAACAGCAAGGGGGTGCCACCCACGTCCACTCCTGCTGCTCCTGTGGCGGTTGGCATTGCTAGGTGTGCGCATTCAATCTAAGGTCGCCTGCAAAATCTGTTGAAAAAGAGGAACCGGTGGATGGAAGGTATATAGTTTCATTGCACATTGAGAATCTGCAGGACTACCGTGTGGCTTTTTAGGAGCTCTCTCTTTTGTACCTACTATCTGTCTCCGTCACATGATGAAGGCATCAGGATTTGTGAAAGAATATCTTCTGGCTCACTGCTCCTTTTGTTCGGTACAACCTTAAAGCTGAGTGATGCTGTTTGCAATATTCGCACTTTGTCAAATAAAGCGACTCCTGCCCGTGCGCAGGGTTAGGTCACCGCCATTGCGGTGTCCCGCAGGACGCTGGTAGCATGGCCGGGTCCTTCCCTGGCCTGGATCCCTTTTGTTTCTGCCACCGCAGCCCCCAGCCCCACATGCTCACATTGTGCCGGGTCTCTGCTGTGCTGTCCTGTGTTGGCCTTACCTACGCTGGAACACGAGGGGCGGGGTTTGAGGAATGCCCACTCGCACAACCCTCTGTGTCTTGTGATTTTTTTTGTACCTGGAGAATTTCTGTTCCTATAAGCAAAACCACTTATTTCTTGTGATGTTTGGAAATAATAAAATGCTTCTGTGGCTGCTAAAATTGTGTCACAGTGTGGTACACCAGCTAGAGTCACCCTGAGGTCCTGCCAGTGGCTACCGTGTCTTATACTGAAGTCCAGGAACTATTTCATAAATAGTGTAAATTCTCCATTGATCAGACAAGCAGCCTTTTCTAGGGCAGTGCCTTTCAGCCAAAATACCAAAACCTCCCATTCACTTTCCAAAAATACCAGGCTCATGGCTCCTGCACCGCGATCATCCTCTATTTTCACCCAGAAGCCCCAGTAATCAGACTCTTCTGCTGCCCATCAGCAAGCAAGTGTCGAAAATAGGAAACTGCATTGCTTGGAAATTATGTTAAGGTCTCTTGGAATTATGGTGCCTGTTCTGTGTAAATAAGAGAAAAATAACTTACTTTTCTTCTCTTCATACCAGTTTCCAGGTTATTTTACTTCCTGCTGTCATCACAGCTCTAAGGTAGAAGCATCACACAGATGGACAAACTGAGGCCCAGAAGGTTTGGGGCTGCCCAAGGATGTCCAGCGGGTGGGGCTGGCAGTGCTCCCTGTGTCCAGCTGCTGTCACCCAAGGGTTTCCAGAAGCACCATGGATCTGGCCCTCCCTTAGGACATGCTGGCCTCCAGGAATGCTCCCAGGCAGGGGTGCCCCGGAGTCAGCGGGGGCCCAGTCTGGGTGCAGAGTCTGCCCAGTGGCTCTGAGGTAGGGCCTGGGCTTCTGCTCCACCGCAGCAGTGCTCCTCAGGATGGGGCTCCTAGTCCAAGGGCAACTATTGTCTTTCTTTCTTTCTTTCTGTTTTTCCTTCTTTCATCCTCTTTCCCTCTTTCATACTGGGACTTTAACCCGGGAACTTACCCATGTTAGGCAAGTACAGTACTCCACCTTGGAGCCACACCCCCAGACTTTATTTTTTCAGACAGGGTCTCACTATGTTACCCAAAGTGGCCTCAAATTTGTGACCCTCCTGCCTCAGCCCCCTGAGTAGCTGAGATGACAAGCATGCCTCACTTCATGTGGCACCAGCACAGAGGACTTTGGAAGGCGCCTGGTGTGATGCGGTTATCTGCAGAGTTGCTGTGCCACGCAGGAGGAGGGTAAGGAGCTCGGCACAGTGCTTGGGCCCTGTGGTTGCCCTGCCAAGAGGGTCACCTCTGCCCTTTATTTTACCGCTGAAGCATCTGAAAACAAAGACAAGTAAGGAAACTGTCTTCGGAAGTGCAGCTGGCACGTGGGTAAGGGGAGCTGCAAACTCAGGCTGCCTGACCCCCTCCTCACCCTCACTGTGGGCCGCGCACCTCCCCGGAGTAGATGGGGTGGCTGAGCAGGACCCAGATGGCCCTGGGGCCATGAGCTGCCACGAGAGACCCTTCTGTGGGCTGGCTCCATGCACTTGTCCTGCAGTTTGCAGCAGGCTCCAGAAAGAGGCAGCTAGGACCAAGAGGCAACAACTTGATGTGTTGTGTTGTGTTGTGCTGTGCTGTGCTGTGCTGTGCTGTGCTGTGCTGTGCTGTACTGGGGTGGGATGGAGTAGGGTGGGGTGGGGTGGGATATGATGCTCTAGAAATTCTCTGGGACACTAGGTGGCCAGAGTGGGATGCATAATAGAGTTAAGTTGCTGTGTGCAGGCCTTTTCCTGGTACTCATTTGTCAGAAAAATTCACTGAAAGCAGGAAAACCGTCATCTCCCCCACCACCCTGTCTCAGATGGTCATGGGGAACCTACTTGCAGCCAAGTGTGAAATGACACAATCCCCCTCCTCAAGGCGTGGCTGCACAACAGGACTTTGTGAGTCTGCTGCCTTGGTTAAATAAATGGATCTGTCAGCTCCGGCCTCCCCCCATACACACACAAAATACACTGAGAACACATGTGCTAAGAACTCTTGCTTCTCGCCCCATCCCCAAGGCAGAATCCCTCAGTGACCTGTCCATCCATAGGCCTCTCAAGGTGGGTTTCCATGTCTTTCCGTGGGGCTGGGAGCTAAAACCCAGGCAGGCCTCCTTGGCCGCAGCCACCCTCCCCCACCTTCAGCTCCACTCGGCTCAGTCTGCATGCAGCAGCCAGGCAGGCATCTAAAGCCAAGAAGCAGGGCTGAGCACACTCTTGCTCAAAGCCCCCAGCATGCCCCACCATTCCCGATCAGCTCCTGCCTGCTCTCCCAGGCACTTGCTTCCTGAACTCCGAGCTGGGTGCTCCATCCCGCCGCAGAGCCTCTCTGTCTTCCTCTTTCATGGCTTTCATTCTCCACCCCAAATCCCCAGAGACCCCTTTCCCCACCTCAGTCATTGACGCCATCCTTGTCTTGTCTTATCACACATTTTCCTGCGCAAGCTGGCTGGTTTATTTCTCAGCAATGTCTCCAACTAGAAAGCAGGGCCTGGGAGACAAAACCAGTCGGTAACCATGGGTTCCATGCATAAGTGACGACTCACGCATTTAAACATAAGTTCCATCCCAAACCAAGACACAAAATGCAATGGGCTCCGATTTGGGTGAGAATCAGCACCCAGTGTGGAAGTGACAAACACAACCATTCACCTCAGCTCAGCACCAGCAGCTCAGGGGTCCCGTTCAGATAACCGAGAACTACAGAACAAAATGCAGAATAGGAAAATGAAATAACAAACGCCTTCCACTGAGGAGCGCAACATTCTGCATCTAAGAACACCTTTATAGGGCCTAAATGAACAAATGATGTCAGGCACTGCTCACTTACGTGCAGATACAACCTAAGCACTTAAATATACCAGTTCCTTCAATCCCCACCTAAGCCCCAGAGCTAGGTGCTGTCAGCACTGGCCCCAGGGATGGGGCTCTTTGGGTCACAGGGTTAAGCTCATGACCCTACCCGGTGAGCAGGGGAGAGGGGAGAAGAGAGTGGCCACCAGCCCTCTGGGTGATAGCATTCCTTAGTGCTCACAGAAACACAGAACCCACAAGGAAGGACCCCCAAGTCTGGGCTGTAGCATTGGAAAGGAAAAAGATTTGTTAGGCGAGGAGCCAGACAGACCCGGATGGAAATCTTCAGGCCAGGCTCTCCACTTCCAGGAGCCTCGACTGAGGGGCTGCAAAGTGGGGGTTCTACCTTCTGACCATCTAGAAGCTCCTGAAGCAGCCTGCTTTGTTTTGCTTTGCTTTGCTTTGTTTTGTTTTCTTTTCTTTTTGATTTTTGTTGTTGTTGTTGTTGTTGTTGTTGTTTTGTTTTGCTTTGTTTTGGGGTTTTTGGGGGGTTTGTTTTTGTTTTTGTTTTTCTCACACTGCATAGGTGACTTGCGCAAATGTGTATCACCATGCCTGGAAAACAGTGAGGGCTCAGAACAAGGTGCCGCTGAACTAGGTAAAACAGCCTGGTACCTAGAGAAAGCAAGCAGAGGGGAGAGGCAGAAAAGGCCAGCGAAGGGCCTCTGCCTGCCCCCAGACTTCCGCCAGGGAGCCCCCTCTGCGAGGAGCACTTTCTGTCGGCGTCTCTCATGTTGCGTGCTAAATTGGAGCTGTGCAGATGAAGGCACTGCGCTTACCAAGTGTAGGCCTGGAGCGCTGACAGCCGAGCTTGCTAACCAAGGCGTGGCTCAAGTCCCAGAGTGCCCGGTCCCTGGGGTCAGAGAGATCTGTGTTCAAGCCCTGTGTCTTCTGTTGACTGTGCGTTGGTCGCCAAAATTCAACCTTCTCACCTGTAAAGTGGGATGCTAACAAGTATGTCACAGTGGCAGTTCAAGGCTACCTTGATAAGTAAGTAAGAGTTGGTGTTGTAGATCAGTGGGGCAGATCACCTGCCTAGGGTTGGGGCTTTTAGATGCATGTCCCCAAGGCTTGAGCGCAGGGACTCAATCATGCAGGTGTGGCAGCTTTG